CAAGCGACGGGTGCAAATGATTTTTTTTTATAAATTACTTCTAGAGGCGATTACCTCTTTCAATCACAAATGGGTTGGTGTTTTACGTTGTTGACAGCAGGCGACGAATAGTTTATTTCGACAATTAGTTCCATTCTAGAATATTGTCATCATTTCTTTTGGTTTCGGTCTGATTCCAGACTGATTTACAGCCCTAGTTAGGTTTGCAATTAGCTTAGCCAAAATGTGGTATCTTATATAAAAAAAATTTAGAATTTACTCTTTCTTTTAAAATAATCATTAAGATTCCTTATTATTACTGTTTTTTCAAATATAAACAATACATAGTTGATGGTATTTTTTCATTACTTGTAGTTTTTTCCAATTGTTATATTTATAAATATTTTTTTCTTTAGAAATATATCTTTAATAGAAATATCTAACAAACAAAAAGATGATTAGCTAACTTTTTATATATTATTTATTTAAACTTTAACAATTTTTTTTAATTATAAACTAGGAAAAGGCTCATGCGTTGCACGGGTCATTCTTTTTGGAAAAAAATAAAGGACATAAGAATATACTAGGCGAAAATGACAAAGAATAAAGGAAAAGATGATTAGATAACTTTTTATATATTATTTATTTAAACTTAACAATTTTTTTTTTAATTATAAACTAGGAAAAGGCCCGTGCGTTGCACGGGTCATTCTTTTTGGAAAAAATAAAGGACAGAAGAATATACTAGGCGAAAATGACAAAGAATAAAGGAAAAGATGCTGAATTTAGCAACTTTTTAGAAAAACATGTGGCGGAAGTCTGAATGTTAAAAAGTTCGGGTTGATAATAGATGGAAAAAAATATCAAAATAGAAGAATGTTGGAAAATGGGAGGCTAAATTATAAATGGATTAAAGAAACGAAACATTTTTGGGAAAATGTAAAAAACATATGATAAAAGTCACAAATAAATCTTTAAAAAAAAATAAAAGGCAGAAGAATATGGCAGATGAAAATGAAAAAAAATAAAGAAAATGAGTTGAATTTAACAACTTTTTAGAAAACATGTGGTGAAAGTCTGAATGTTAAAAAGTTTTAAGCATTTTTGGGAAAATATAAAAAAAATGGGAGTAAAGTCAAAAATGAAGAATGTTATTGTTCAAACATTGTAAATTGTCAAAGTTTAGTGGCAGTAATATAAAGAATCAGTGTAAAAAGTAGCAAAAATGTAAAAAAGTAAAAGTGAAGTTGCTAAATTATGAATTAGAAAAAGTTAGTGGCTAAATTATGAATTAGAAAAGGTTACTTAGTAAAAAATGTAAAGAAGTAAAAGTGAAGTGGCTAAATTATGAATTAGAAAAAGTTAGTGGCTAAATTATGAATTAGAAAATGTTACATTTCAAAATTATCAAAGTTTAGTGGCAGTAATATAAAGAATCAGTGTAAAGAAATAAAAATAAAAAATTATTAGCAAAAATGTAAAGAAGTAAAAGTGAAGCGGCTAAATTATGAATTAGAAAATGTTACTTAGCAAAAAATGTAAAGAAGTAAAAATGAAGTGGCTAAATTATGAATTAGAAAAAGTTAGTAGCTAAATTATGAATTATAAAATGTTACTGTTGAAATGCGCCATGTGCTTTAATATATATATATATATATATATATATATATATATATATATATATATATATATATATATATATAATGTTTGTTCTCCAATTTTTTTTGAAAATATTATATCCTTTGAGAATCACTTTTTCCTAATAAAAATATTATTTTTTTATCATTAATTATAATGTTTGGTAAAAAAGAAGTTAGGATGAAAAAACGGTTAAAATATATTAAAATAAATTTTAATTTATTTTTTACCATTAAATTTTGTTGAATTCCATTTATAAAAATATCATGTTCGTATGAATAATCAAATAAATTAGAATATAAAAATCAATTTGTGAGAAACTTCAAATGGAATCATATAATCCAATATTAAAATCCATATTACATATGCTCATTATTTTAAACTCCTGATAACCCAAACAACGATTTTACATTTATAGGATCACGGCACGAATCTTGTATAACATAATTAAAATCATGTAATTAGACTTAAAATTTAACCAAATCAACAAAACTAAAATTATACATATATTAGTAAATTATTTCACAAAGTATTTTATTAATGGCAAAATCCAAATCTTCGACCATCATTCTAAGCATCTTTGGTTCAAATTCAACCTTGTATATCACTCACATACATACAAAAAGACTACTTCATATTCGCAAATCTACAAAATAGGCGTATTTTTATACCTAAGGTTATTTGCACGTGATATAAAAATGCCATAACCTCTAAAATATCAATACAGTAATGAAACTTGTTTAACTATTGACATACAAGCACAAAATACAACCAATCCACTTTTAGTGTTCATATTATCAATATACATCATTAAGAATTTGATCTTTATTAAGAACTTCAGTCTTCTACTACAAAACTACCAACATGACAAAAATTCCAATTTCCTAATGAAGTAAGATAGCTTTGGGTTATAACTTGTTGATCATCTGTGGTTAAGATCTAGAATCTTAATGGAATTGTATATCACCCATAAATTTGAATACGGTTATAGATCCTCCACCCTGAACCATTTGCTGACCTCCCAAATTCTAGTTGAAAGTAGAGGTCGTATGTTCCTACAAAGAACGAAAACTCCATCTCTGCATCAAACTTACTATAAAACCTCTGTCATCTAGACAATTATATAATACAAACTAAATTTTTTTCTATAGAAATAACCAGCAAGATAAGAACATGCTCGGCTGCAACCTGCAAAGCCATTATCAAATAACATGTTTATCGTACTTTGAAAAAGTGTACCCTTTAAATCATTATAGTCCAAAACTATCTTATTAGGACACTAAAACATTATAGTCCAAAACTTTCTCAGTTTTTCCAACTTTCCTTGGTTGTGCCATTTGTTAAAGTCACCTTTCATCATAATGCAACATACATAAGACTAACTAAAATTGTCAGAAAAATATATAAATTTATGAATTTAGATGGTCACTTATAACCTACACAAATCCAAATAAAAAGAAAGCTTAAACACTGCACGTTTTTATGATGGGATATAGTAACCTATATACCTCTCAAATGTTGTTGAACCGCAAAACATGACAAACAAACAGTATAACCAGGAAAATATCTCTCCGGAAATCAATGCCTAAAACACCAAAGTTTAGCACTCATATTAGAATCTAATGTGTAAGTTAATATCCAAATAAGATAATTGCACACACATAATCAGATACACCCACAGAGCCATACACAGTCACACACACACTCACACACTCCCTACATAACACACACACATCGCATAAATGAGAAATCAAAAGAAAACAAAAATCATGGAAATAGACCTATTGGTTAACTCTTGGTCTTCAAAGTCAGGTACAAAATCGATTGATTTTGTATGGATCTCCAACACAATAAATGTTTTTTTTTATTTCAGAAAAAATAACCAAGGAAGGAATATGGGTCGTAGATGGTACCTTAGGTCCGTTCACTAGGAAATGAAGAAATAAAAATACATGTTTCTTTAACCACAAAGCATTCCTGAAACCGTATGATCTTTGGATCGATTAGCCTTTCATACTACAAACCCCAGCAACTAATCAAGAATAAAAATAAAGATGCACAAATCAAAGAGTGGTATCTCAAGTGGAATTTACCAGGAGATCGTATATGGATACACCAATGAGGCCTCGACCTCGACCTGCACCTGATAACAAAAAAAAATCGTTTTTAGCTTTCCATAACATGTTCTTCGTCCGGAGGTCGAGGAGGCAGACACCTTAGAGAAAGTCGATTCTATGGTGACTCATGGTAGCGGAAAATAGATGGTTGGGATGTAGAGAGAAATCATAGGATGTCTCCTAGCTGCAAAAATCAAGATTTGAGGTGAGTTTTAGGGATTGAAATCGAGATAGAGAATGAGGTTTTGGGCTCGATTGCGGCGTAAGAAATTTAAAAAAAAATCGTGAACAATAGCAAACGCATCTGCAAGCAACAGAGCAGGAGTGGTGGTTGGTTGTGGCTATCGGATTGTAGTTAGGATTTTCCAAGGAACGAATTTGGGTGGGAGGCCATGAGAGAGTATGGGAGACCAATTTTATGTTCTCACGGTGGGGAAGGAGGCAAGATTCCAAATATAGGTGCAGAGATTGGGTGGTGGAGTTCTTATGGGCGCATCTATCCTATATTGACCGCTTCAAAGGGCTTTGATCGATTCAATTGGGCGACATTGAAGTAATACTCGTTCTTTGCCTGATTCAATTTCTAGTTCGATTCGAATTTGATTTTTGTTGACCAAAAACAAATTTGCAAAGTAGGATGATGTTAAATATACTACTTTTATGGAATACCAACTTTTGACTAATTAATATTTCCTTAATTTAAGATAATTTAATTTGATTTATGCACAAAATGTATGTACTTCATGCTTTAAATTTTATACTACTTAAAGTTAAGACTTTCTTGTCTTAAAATAGCTAAATGTTTTTCATGTGTGTTTTTAATGTTTGAACTTGTGGACATCAAATTCTTGATTTATGTATATATGTATGTGTCGGAAAATACGAAAAAAGATGACAAATTATAAAAACCGGTTTATTTAGCGGTCGAACCGGTTAAACCGAAAACCGGTCATCATACTGGTTCAACTAAAAACCGGTTTTTAAAACATTTCTTAAACCCTTTTTATCCGGCTTCAAATTCCCCAGTTCAGATAGAAGCTCTGATCTACATCTGGACAGGAATGGAAACAAACCGGTCCACATGCGCAACCATCTCCACACTTCGGTGAGTTCGGTCGCAAAGGCACAATAAAAAAAAGAAGAGATTCACCGTAAATAATTATGTCCAAAATCCGAGTAAATTCAGATTCACCGTATTTAGTATTTACATTTACATGTGATACCTTCAATAAAGGTCGTACTTCCTTACTATATATTCACTAATCCCGGACTTATGCCACGGCGGCGACTGAAGTACTTCCTGATCTGATGCGGCGGCTGTAGAAGAATCCGTGCAAAGAAGTAGTGTTGAAATTATATGCTTTTAGGTTTAATCGGACTCGGCTATTGGCAATCAGTTAATCACTTTTATCAGTTGAGAGAATGTCGTCGCATCTTCTCTATCTTCAGCTGCCGTCTCTGCGTCCGACTTTACAGCGGCGGTGGCAGTTGTCTTCCGGCCGAAACCAAAACATACTGACTTGTCATTCGACGAATAAATGTGATTTGAGACCTCGTCATTCGCTATCACGAAATCATAGTTCTGATGCCTGCAAAGATAAAGTCATATTATCTTCGCCACTTGTGCTTGATCCGAATAATGGCAATTCAAGTCGTCGATGTGTAAAAGTCAGAGCAAACTTGAATTTCCCGCTAATCTCACCCTCAGATCAATGGGGAAACTGGACTGCTCTCTTTTCCATCGGCGCTATTGGTAGCTGGTAATCTCTCTCCCCTAGAATCTATACTTAATTCTTCCCAACTATCTAATTTACATAGAAAACGATCATCGTAAATCATGAGAAGACGATACTCATTTTACCTGTAAGGTCAGAGAATACAAAGATTGGGAACATGTTAAGCGGGGCATTGGTGAGCACATTGATTGGACTTGCTGCTAGTAATTTAGGGGTTATTTCATGTGAAGCGAAGGCTTATCCAATTGTCCTCGAGTATCTGTTGCCATTAGCTGTCCCCCTATTGTTGTTTAGAGCAGATCTTTTTCGAGTTGTTAGGTCAACAGGGAAGCTCCTTTTGGCTTTCTTGATTGGATCAGGTAATATTGTAACAGATAAGTTACAATTTCACTGACTTCTAATAACTATGATAGATCCCACACTTACTTTAATCTTTGCTTTGCCCATTCATTTAGTGGCAACAACAATTGGAACAGTTGTGGCTTATTGGATGGTTCCAATGCGACCACTTTGCCAAGAAGGGTGGAAAATTGCTGCTGCTTTAATGGGTAGACATATTGGTGGAGGTAATGAACATTGTAATTAGTTTGTTAAAGAATCCTTCTATAATTATATATATATATATATATATATATATATATATATATATATATATATATATATATAGAACTAATGAGTTCTTTTTGTTTATGTTACTTTATAGCTGTCAATTATGTTGCCATTGCTGAAGCTCTAGAGATTTCTCCTTCAGTTTTAGCTGCTGGATTAGCTGCAGATAATGTTATTTGTGCAGTATATTTTACCACATTGTTTGCACTAGCTGCTAAAATCCCTCCCGAGAGTTCAACATCAACCACTGGTTCGTTATGATACTCTTTTCCACATTCAATCCTATTATTAATAATATATGTTGAATTGTAAATAAAGCTGGAAGTTTGACAGATGTTGAAGAAGATGTGAAATCAGAATCCAAGAGCAAACTTCCATTGCTGCAGTCTGCTACAGCCCTTGCTGTATCCTTTGGCATCTGCAAAATCGGAAGTTTTATAACAAAATATTTCGGCATTCCAGGAGGAAGCCTTCCAGCCATTACTGCTGTGGTGGTTGTTTTGGCAACAACATTCCCAAAGCAGTTTACTCACCTTGCACCTGCAGGTGAGGTTATGGCCATAATCCTAATGCAGGTGAACCTCAGTTGCAACATATTCATCTTCCCAATATTTGTAATGCATTTGTTACTAACTTTTTTATTTTTTTTTATCAGATATTTTTCACTGTGATTGGGGCAAGTGGGAACATATGGAATGTGGTGACAACAGCACCTAGTATATTTTTGTTTGCTCTTGTCCAGCTGGCAGTTCATCTAGCAGTTATTCTAGGTTTGGGAAAGGTGTTTGGTTTCGAGCTCAAGTTATTGCTGTTGGCATCAAATGCGAATGTAGGAGGCCCCACAACAGCTTGTGGAATGGCCACAGCTAAAGAGTGGACTTCCTTGATTGTTCCAGCAGTTCTTGCTGGTATTTTTGGCATTGCCATTGCTACCTTTCTGGGTGTTGCTTTTGGAAATTATGTGCTTCAATACATGTAATGTAATTATGTAAACAGCTTTCGTTTGTAACATCATCATACAAATAATGTTTTGTGCCATGTAATTTTTGTTTACTAAAATCGAGATGTTGATTTCAGAGTTCTATTTGTTAATAGTAGAATTAATAGAATAAGTCTAACCTACTTAAGGTAGCAAAATGGGCAAAATGTTTTCCGGTTTTGGCATACAGTATACACCACACCATGTATGCAATATGCCATCTGCATATTTTGATGATTAAATAAATGGTAATAATATACTTTAGTTTAATCGACTATTAAAGGTATAGATCTAGTTACATGCTTTGTAGAATAAAAGTTTCAAAGAAATATGCAATCGAGTTATACCCACAAGACGTACACGAATTGCCAAAGAGCCCTAATCTTTGGGTTGTGGAAAAGGACCTCTAAATAATGTTAAGATTGAACATGTCTCAAACCAAAATCGAGTGGAGACAATTTGAGTTAGCGGTGTTCGCGGTTCGGTTTGAAACCATGAAACCGGCCAAACCGGTGATCGGTTTGGTTTTACGGTTTGTATTTTTCTTTACGGTTTGGCTTGCGGTTTCGAACTTTTCAAACCGTATTGAATGGTTTGGCTTACGGTTTTTAAGATTTCAAACCGTATAAAAACCGGACCGGACCGTAGGATTTATATATATTAATCAATTTTTTTATATGTAATTATATTTTATTGTATTATATATTAATTTTTATATTCAAATAATAAATTTTAAAACCCACAATATTGAATTATTACAGCCCAATTATAGTTTCTTTTGTGATATGGTAATTAGTAAATGAAGCCCTTATTGATAGTCCTGAATCCTAAATCCTGATAGTCCAGTAGTCCACCTCCAGCTCCGAGCAATCGTGAATGTGATTCACTGATTTGTTTCAGACTTTCAACTTGCCCTAATCGAGTAATCGCAAATCGCAAAGACACAAAGGCTCGATTTCCACTTTCCAGTTGCCACACCACTCGTTTTCCCTCCGACTACAAGTCTACAGTTCGTTGCCTCCCCTGCAGCAGCTCCGATTCTAGCTCCGTTTGGCGTTTGCAGGTTCGAGTGTCCGACAGTCCGACTACACCTCTCGTTTCTCTATCGTTGGCTGGCTCGTTGCTCCGATAAGGTATGATGTGTTCTGAATCAACTAAACCGATTTGTTTACCATCCATCTACACCTGGTTTCTATTCATTATTCTCATTATAATTCTTTCTCAACTTGTTGCTACACTCAATCGATAATCTTATAATATTATGTGCAAGTTGGATTTCGATTTCCAATCACCTCTCCTATCATTGTGAGTTTGATTTTTTTGTAACAGAAGCAAACATCGGACGAAACAAAAGTAGAAAGGAGTTGTTGACTTTTTATTTCTTTCTAAACCTGTTGCTAACTGCTAAGAATCATCACCTCTTAATCTGATTTCAGTGAGTCCACAATTCTGAATTCTGATTGCACTTTTTTTCTTTCTGGTCCTTACATGGGTAAATATAACATCAATATTCTCATTAGTGAACCTGTGAACATCATTGATGCTGATGATGATATGGAAGAGATTGATGTAGATGATGATGTTCATGTGGAGCAAAATGGAGGTGCTACTGATAATAACCAAGGAAGGGGACGAAATCAGTCTATTGTTTGGAAACACTTCAACAAACCAGATCCAATTCCACCTGAAGGAGCACGCACCACATGTATTCACTGTAAGAAAAGCTATGTGTATGAACCAAGTCAGAATGGTACTGTTTTAATACCTTTAATAGTGCAATTTTTCTTACTAAATTAGGCAGAATTTTGACTGTTTTAATACCTTAAATAATGCAATTTTTTTTACTGTTTTAATACCTTTAATAGTGCAATTTTTTATTGTTTTAATACCTCTAATATTGCAGCTTTAATATTAGGTAGAATTTTTACTATTTTAAGACATGTAATAGTGCAGTTTTTTTAATAAATTAATTTAATGGAATCGACTAAAATGAGTCTAAAAAGCCTAAACCGTGAAACCAAACCGGAGCCAAACCGTTAGTAACGGTTTGGTTTGGTTCGGTTTTAAAATTTCAACGGTTCGTCTTTGGTTTTTGCTTGACAAAAACCGTTAGTAACGGTTTGGCTTCGGTTTGACCTAAAAACCGAAAAAACCGGACCATGAAGACATTATTTTATATTTTCGGTTTTGTTTTTGGGCCGGTTTTAATCCGTGCTGACACACGGCACCCCTGTTTATTTATTACTGGATAATTGAAATCGGAAAGCTCCAATTGACAAAACACAGGTGCCGGCAAAGAAGGAATCCACATAAACACACACAAAAATCCAAGGACAGAAAATCCTAAATTGATGAAGCAAGTGTTTCGGAAGACTCAGCTCACCATTAATGGCGTCGTCGTTGCCGTTCATGACGGCCGCTGCGTCGTCATTTCGGCTACCGTCGCTCTCTCACCACCAATATTATACTCATTCATTAACCCCACTTACAACTTCAAAATCCGAACCGAAACTGTGTTCGTTCACTTTGAGACGTTTCTCGCTCGAAACATCTCGCTTCTCACCGTCGGAAAACATACCTACACTCAATCGAAGTGTAGTGGCTAGGTCTAATTTGAGATTTCCTCTGATATCGCCTAATGACCATTGGGGCATATGGACTGCTCTCTTTGCCACCGGTGCTTTTGGTCTATGGTAATCAATTTCTCTCTTCTCATTGCTTGCTTATTGTGAATTTGAGATTAGAACGTTGACTCTGTTCATCCTTTTGATCAATTAGAAGATTGAAATTGTATTCCCTTTGTTCCTTAAGTAAACTGTCACCTAAAATCATTCACTAGTGTTTTGAGAATATAGATTCGGACTTTTAAGAGCCAACTCCTAAAATCTGAAGTTTAATGATTGGTACGGATCCATTGACTTTTTGGCTACAATAGATATGCTAGTTCTGTGGTTATCCAGATTGCTTGCAATCTTAAAGTTGTATAGGCTGTAATCAATCGAATTTGTTTCCTTTTTTGAATTTCATGATTTTGCTAATTAAGTGTAAGTGGATTTTGGGGTGTTTGAATATCCAATTAAAGGTCAGAGAGAACCAAGATTGGGGGGATGATTAGTGCTGCACTTGTGAGCATCTTGTTGGGGCTCGCAGCCAGTAACATGGGTATAATTCCTCATGAAGCACAAGCTTACTCTATTGTGATGGAATTCATTCTACCTTTGACAATCCCTTTGATGCTGTTCAGAGCTGATATGCGAAATGTGATAAAATCAACTGGGAAGCTCCTCTTGGCCTTTTTGATTGGATCAGGTCATATTTGTTATACAAACAGTTATCAGTTTAAGCATATACTTTAATAGATGCTTGTTTGAAAATATCATTTTTGTAAAACTAAGAAAAACTGACATTTTATTTATTATAATGTGGCAGTTGCAACCACATTTGGAACACTAGTAGCATTCTTGATTGTTCCTATGCGATCACTAGGTCAAGATAGTTGGAAGATTGCTTCTGCTCTCATGGCCAGTTATATAGGAGGAGGTAATTATTATTAATGATATTGCTAACCAAAGATGTTGTAATTTTCATTTACTACATTTTTAACCTAAAACTATGTGTTTTTGTGCCTATTTTGTAGCTATAAACTATGTTGCGGTTTCAGATGCACTTGGAGTTTCTCCATCTGTTGTTGCAGCAGGTGTAGCTGCAGACAATGTTATATGTGCGATTTACTTCATGGTGTTGTTTGCATTAGGCTCTAAAATTCCTTCAGAGGCTTTACCACCAACCAAAGGTGAGGTTAAAATAAATAACCTCATTTTTTTTTCATTTGCCACCTCCCTTTATTTGAATGTCTATCTATGCACCTTTAACTGATGTCAAATGGCAGATCCGACAAATAATTTGGAAGGCAATGTGGCCACAATACAAACAGCTACTGCACTTGCTGTTTCTTTTGCAATCTGCAAAGTCTCAACACATATCATTCAAGTTTTAAAATTGCCAGGTGGCACGCTTCCAGCAATTACTGCAACTGTTGTGATTTTGGCAACTTTACTTCCAAGACAAATTGGTTACCTGGCACCTGCTGGTGATGTTGTTGCTGCAATTTCGATTCAGGTATTTCAAGATTATCTTAACCAATATTAAGGTTTTACTAAGTTGATAACTTAACTAGTATGATATGATGATATAGGTATTTTTTGCTGTATTGGGTGCGAGTGGGAGCATATGGAATGTTATCATGGTTGCTCCAAGTGTGTTTGTGTTTGCCTTTATTCAAGTCACAGTGCATCTTATTGTGATTCTTGGATTGGGAAAGTTACTCAGATTAGACCTAAAGTTACTACTTTTAGCATCAAATGCTAACATTGGAGGTCCTACAACAGCATCTGGGATGGCAACAGCCAAAGGTTGGGGCTCTTTGGTAATTCCTGGAATTCTTGTGGGTATATTTGGAATTTCAACCGCAACATACCTTGCATATTTCTTTGGAACTTTTGTTCTCAAAAGCGTGTCAGGGTTTATGTAACATTTTGGCTATCAACTGTTGGTGATTTGTTCGAGGTGACTAAACATCTAGAAATTTCACAGAGTATTATTATCAAACAAGTGGAGGGCTTTCACATAGGATTATCATCAAATAAGTGGTGTGCTTCAGAAGTCTTGTAAATTAAAACATACAGAACTGCTATACCTCTGATATTAGTCAAATATTCTAGAAAGGGTATTTTGGGTATTTCTGCTATTTAGTTTGTTACAACAGTGGCTTATAAAAGGTAGAGGGAATAAGTGTAGCACCATCTTATCTTTTTGTGAAATCTGGGAATCATACCATTGGGAGAGGCTAGGCTCTTAAACCACTAAATCATTAGGGTTACAGTTTGTTTATTTGGTATTTTGAGTGTTTCAATCAATACAAGATGCTTTTGAATTCATTTTCTTGTTTTTGATTTTATATTAAAAGTGAGTTCATAGCAAATTGGTATTAGACTAATGGCCTAATGGCCATAGATACTATGGCTCAAAAGGGTGGAAATAGTAGGAGAAAATGTGGAAACAATAGGAGAAGGAATGAAAGAAATACATTCTGTCATGGCA